CTGATGAGTTCCAACTGAAACAATATTATTTGCTTAAATGTGTTGTTCTAATAGATTGTAGTCCGAAATATATGTATGTGGGTTATATACAGAATTCCGAAGTCGTTATCACGTACAGTTCGCTAACGTCTCCTACACATAGCTGAAGCAGTTGCAATTAGATCAACTAAACCGGAACTTTGTATCCAAAATGAACATGTCCAGACACTGTTCCTACAGGGGCCAAACTTGGATTGATGATTCTTCTTCTCACCAAGAGTGCTTTTTTCCCTTAACCATCTTAGTTTTTTCTTCCTTTGCTTATTATTACAATTATTATTCGTCATAATTTATACTCTTCATGCAAACATTCTCTCAGCAATATCGAATTCTCCATTTATATTATCCTGACTTATTAGTAGTGATATTATCTCTTTTCTCAATATATGCCTCCACCTGTTTCATTTCACAAATTCGTTTCATTATGAACTTCTCAATGCAGTCTTACTATCTCCTGTTTAATACATACCAATTTGTACTAGCTACTCACTCACCTGACACCTTTTATAACCTTGAACCGACTCTTCAATTTCCCTACCCCCACACTACAAATCTGTTTTGACTAATCACCACCATTGTCTCCCATTTTACAATATTTTGTAATCGATTTCAGTCTAGCACGTTTGTCACACAATTATTTATTTTGACACCCCATAACTAATCTGTTAATCTACGTTAAAAATTTAACCGCTTCATAACTGGCTGTCATTATTGTAACGACAACAAATATTATATTTTATAATTATAAGAAGCTGAAGGGAATTAAAACAAGATTTTGAGCGAACAATTGTCTTCGATAACTTCTTCAGGCTCTACAGTTATAAATCCATGAATAATAGAGCACATACAGCCAATGAAGGCAAATGAAAATAATATCAGAAACTGTATTGGAGTGCATCTGTAAGTTGAGATGATAGTCCATTAGTTAACATAGCCAATCAAATGTGTATAGGGTATATACTCAAAATATGTGATGAAGTGTGAATGAACAATTGGGTGATATAGTGCTGTTTTATAGTCAACAGAATACAAGCGTCACTGGAGTGAGAGAAATGCGATAAACACAAATACATACAAATACACATTAACAAAGGGGACACTGAATATGAGGGCTGACCGATAATGTCTAATGATAAAATAAAGAGGCTAAATTGTAAATTGTAATAAGATGTTACAGAATTGGTAGGCCTAGTATAATCAGAACCCGTCTTTTACACCTAGCCGAAGCTATGGGAATTCGAGAGAATAATCCTAGTCTTTGCATACAAAAGAAGTTTGTTCTACCTTTGTCTCTCCCTTGACCTAGGTGAATTGTATTCAAAACCCTCCCACCCTTTCTTATTTTCCATCTCCTTCGTACTTTCCTAATATATATTTAAACTCTGATTATCGTTCCACTTCGCCTTTTAAGATTTGACCTAATTTATTTATATACTTAGATACATTTACTACTATACATTCTTATCACCTGCATAAACCTTATTATCAATATTTTGTTATCATCATAATAATCGTTATTAATTTCGTTCAAAACATTTACCACATTATTATTATTATTATTAAGATTATTATTTGATTCCCAAAATCACCGTCATTGGTTAAAATTTTATATATAAATCTATGTAAATTAGAGTAAAGCCTGAAGAAAATCTAATTGAAAACAATATTGTTCGCCTATATGTCATGTTCTAATATCACAAAATGATAATATTGGTAATAATAATACGGAAAATTATGATCCTGGTGACCTTATGGTGGGCCAGGGTAGACAGAGAGAGTGAATAAGTTTTTTCCGTACTCATAAATCTGGTCTTTTCCTATTAATCTCTAAAGCCTCAGTTATGGCTAGGAGGCGTAATCGTGTGCCTTTGGGTAGATTGTTCGGTACTCGATACACAACTGTAAATGACTCATCTACTTTGATGCTGTGTTCGCTATCCACTAGATGAGACAGAATTGCACTATTTAATGGTTTGGTTGCTCTTTTCCCAAGCCAAACAGGAATATGTTCACGAGTGCGTAAAGATAAATTCCTTTGGGTACGACCTATATAACTAGCTCCACAGAAGCAGTTGAATTTATATGCACACACTGATGTCGCCATTTTGGGTAATCTATCTTTAATGCACAGTGTCAATATCGGTTTGGTTGAGAAAGTGACATGCAGTTTTGCGGCACTGAAAGTTCTTTCAATTGATCTTGTTAATCTACGGTTTAATATGTCGCTAGATATATCGCCTTTGAATTGTAAATTTAAGTAGAGCTTTTTCTCACTTACTGTGTCTCGCTTAATTTTGTGTAGTATCATAGATATACTTCTTTACAAAGTTGGTAGGTTAGTCGTTTTGTAGCAAGGCGTTTGTAAGATTTCTTATTTCATCTTCAATGCAGTATATGAAACTACACACAAAATATGACATGCGAATATCTCACACTGTTAAATCTTATAGTTGTAATACTAAATTGAACACCAATATTACAAAGTAAATGAATTTATAGGAATAAATTCTCATGAGTCATGTTCATACTAAATTCTATTCATATTGATGACAAACCTCAGATGGATGAATGATCATGTCAAGGACGGGGTAGAAAAAAATGTGGGGCCTGCAATTTATGTGCGTTTTATGTGTGTCAGTGTGTAAGTTTGTTAATGCAAGTGTAATCGCAGGGGATAGGGGAATTTTAAATGTACAGGATCGAGGGCCATATCAAGAAAGGCCGATGTAATAAGGTATATATGAATTTGCAGACTCCACAGCTGGCCGGGGCAGTGACAGTGGTTGAACCTGTTTCTTCTGTACGCACAGCACCGGTTGTTTTAGGCGAAATTGCAATAGTCTATGCTGTTTGGAGTATTCGGTACCTGGATGCTTTTGGCAATTTATTTGGTACCCGGTAGATGACAGAGAAGGATTCTTCAATGCTGGCTTTGTGACCTGTTTGGACCAGGTGATCTAATATCGAACTGTTGATAGTTTTAACTACATCTTTATTTAGTCACACTGGTAGATGTTCCCGAACACGAAAAAGCTTCAATGATTAATCTCTATCTTCACCTAACTATGTTACTTTTTAATACTCTCAACTTGTCCCACCCTATTTTGTGATTACATGCAAGTGAACACAATGTAATGGCTGAGGTTTTTCCTAGGTCATTTAACACAGCAAGGTCAATTATTCTAGGTCTAGTTAAATTATTATGTTCCAATAATCTAGTTGACCCCGATCTACTAGTTTTACCTATGTAATGGACGTCACAGTCATTACATGGTATTTGGTAAATTATATTATTTTTCTTAATTGGATCTATTGGGTCCTTAAGTCGACTAAGTCTATCTCTGAGAGAGTTGGTTGGTTTAAATGCCACCCTGATTCCAGCCTCATTGATAATCCTACGTGAGGCCTCTAATGTTCCTTCTTTATTTTTTCTATGTGAAACCGTGTAACAAAATGGATATGATTATGAGCAATAATTTATGCTCGAAGCCTTGTCATTCACTTGTTAACACCGCGTCACTGTGTGATCAATTGATCATATCAATTGATATGATTATGAACAATAAATTTTGTTCGAAACGTCATCCAGTAAATAATACTGTTTCACTGTGTGATATATCTAATAAACAAACTAATATTGAATTACTTACTACCACAGTGCCCAAGTTTTACACATATATTAAATGCAAAATGTTATCAAATGAATAAGAAGAAATACACTGGAGTTAAGACATGAAAAGTTGCGATGAAACTGTCTAAATTATGCGTATTTTAGGTTCGTAGTGGGTAAAAATTTGTTGCAGCTACCCAAGAGTGGGACGCTGAATAGCAATCTTAAAATCTAAGCTGATGTTTTTATAAACTAAACAAAACTACAAAAACCACAGACCTTTCACAAGCTTAACCGATACATGAGGTAGGATAACTGACATCTCTTTCAATGACAAAGCTATAGTTTCATTACCTGAATAACATTATTGTAATGTCATATCGAAATGTCCTGAAATCCATCAAAGCTGTGACTTACGGCTTCTTGCTTTTAATAATGCTGTTGTAATAATGATGTTGTAAGACAAGTTGTTAAGTTATTTAAAAAACAGGATTGTGAATGAACTAGTTTTTGGACATACTTATTTTAGTTTATTTGAATAGCTCAGCGGGATAACGTTTAACTTCAGTCGCATATTTCATACATTGACTTCACTCGACACCTAGTTTCTGATATTTTACCCCCTATTCACAAATAAAATATCTAACTGTTTAACTAGGCTTATTTCTTCTTCGTATTTATAAAGCTTAGAGGTATTTCAATAAGTCCAATTTCACCACATATATCGCCTTTTTGAGCCATCACTTAACTAACGTACTATCCGTTCACGTCTAAGTTTAAGTGACAATGAAATCATTCTATATCGGACAAACATAATTATTAGAAAGTTCATCTTGTACTTTTTTGGTTTGGAATCTATAATTCCAACCTCACCCTGCACCAATTATAAAGTACCTTCTTCGATTTCATCAGTTGATCTAATCACCTACAGAATGACATTAGAGTTTTAATTTAAGTCAAACCCCAAATAATTATTATACATATAAAGAGCTAATACCTATTCAGTAATAGATCACTTACAGATACACGCCAATCAAGAATTATAAAATCCATCATGTAACTAAACGTTCCAATAGAATATACCGAAATGTCTGCGATGTCATATTATTACATAATATAGTCAATCTTAAATATCAAATTGCTTAATACCTACTTATTATTTACCTTTCATGTCACCTTATCTACTGATTAATCCCCAATAAATATTAATTAATCAAGCAAATAAAAGCAAAACAAGTTATATTGACATATGACAGATGAATTATTGTCATTTCAATGTTATTTTTGTATTGTATGCTATCACAACACCAATATATGTATATATATTCACATGTCTTGTGATAGTAATTGAAAATTTTGCATATTTCTTTTATGTAGTTACAAGTGTCTGGAATATAAATTTTCCATTTAGTAAATATTTTGTTCATGTAAATGTTGTATAGTTTCATTTATTGATTGGTAGTTTTACTAAATTTGTTTGCAGTAAATAATCACTTAATATTCGTGATATTTTTGTTCAAAATTAATTTTTGCCTTTTCTGCTTTATTCTTTATATTTCTAGTAATCATATTTTGTTGTTTTTTTTGTTCCATAAATTGAATTAATATTCTTCAGCTTCGCCTTCTTCACCTCCTTCAACAGTATCTGCACCAACTTCTTCATAATCTTTTTCTAAAGCTGCTAAATCTTCTCTTGCTTCTGAAAATTCACCTTCTTCCATACCTTCACCTACGAACCAATGAATAAATGCACGTTTTGCATACATTAAATCAAATTTATGATTTAATCTAGCCCATGCTTCAATGACAGCTGTTGTATTAGATAACATACAAACAGAACGTTGTACTTTGGCTAAATCACCACCAGGTACTACTGTTGGGGGTTGATAATTTATACCAACTTTAAAACCAGTTGGACACCAATCAACAAATTGTATTGTACGCTTTGATTTAATAGTTGCTATTGATGTATTTACTTCTTTTGGTACAACATCACCACGATATAATAAACAACAAGCCATATATTTACCATGACGTGGATCACATTTAACTAATTGATTCGCTGGTTCAAAGCAACTGTTTGTTATTTCAGTAACTGTTAATCTTTCATGATAAGCTTTTTCAGCATTAATAACAGGAGCAAGTGTTGCTAATGGGAAGTGAATACGAGGATATGGGACTAAATTAGTTTGAAATTCTGCTAAATCAACATTCAATGATCCATCAAATCGAAGAGAACAAGTGATTGCACTAACACATTGAGCTATTAATCGATTAAGATTTGTATAGGTAGGACGTTCAATATCCAAATTGCGTCTAATTAGGGTAGAGAAAAATATTTTAATATATATGTATATACTAAAAAGATAAATTAACTTACCGACAAATATCATAAATAGCTTCATTATCAGTCATAAATGAACAATCACTTAGTTCTAAAGTAGTATGTGTATTTAGAATAGAATTATATGGTTCAACTACACATGTAGATATTTGTGGTGCTGGGTAGATGGCAAATTCAAGTTTTGATTTTTTACCATAATCCACGCTGATACGTTCTAATAATAAAGATGTAAATCCAGATCCAGTCCCCCCTCCGAATGAATGAAAAATAAGGAAACCTTGTAGACCTCCACATTGATCAGCTACTTTTCGGACACGATCTAATACTAAGTCTACTATTTCTTTCCCAATAGTATAATGACCACGAGCATAATTATTAGCTGCATCTTCTTTGCCGGTTATGAGCTGTTCTGGATGGAAAAGTTGACGATATGTTCCCGTTCGGACTTCATCAATAACAGTAGGTTCCAAATCTACCATAACTGCTCGTGGAACATGTTTTCCAGCTCCTGTTTCACTGAAAAAAGTTTCAAATGAATCATCCCCTCCACCAATTGTTTTATCACTTGGCATATGTCCATCCGGTTGAATACCATGTTCCAAACAATAAAGTTCCCAGCATGCATTACCAACTTGAACACCAGATTGACCAATGTGAAGACTGATACACTCTCTCTGTTGATAGTTAAAAATCAAAATTATGTTATAGAACGTACCATTTTGTCAATAAATAGCTTTTTATATGAACAGCTCCTAGAAAAAAGGGCCTACACGGAGCGCCCAGCACAGCTTTATCGAAAATAATTTGAATTATTGTTGTGCGCGATAGCTACTAACTTTATGCGTAGGCAACCATTATCGAACTGAATTCTGATTGGTTAATAGACGGCTATCTTATCTACTTATCTTTCTTAGGGTATAAGCGATTTTTACCAGTATATACTGGATAATTTTTAGATCTAAGTGGTATAAGATGTTTTATAATATACTTTTTAAGGGTTTCTATCATATTTTTAATCGAATAATAGTTGTAATATAATTTTTTTAACAAAAATTCCTAAAGTGAGTTAAGTCTACATCTGCCCGCGCATAAATCCGGTCAATATTTTTATTGATTGCCAGCTTATTTAAAATGTAGCTGACAGTTTAGGAATGTATTATTTTATAACAATTCTTCATTTTAGGATTTTTGCCATTTATTGTATATGATGAAACCAGCTGCTCAAATTAAATCATGCTAAACAGTTGTTTTTAAGATTAATTGTCATAAACACAAATTATTATTGTTTCCTTTAGTTCCTGCAGGAACATAAGGCTTCAGCCGCACATCTCCATTGGTATTATTGGGCGCGTTTTCGGTGAAGGTCGATTTAGAAGTCTTTTGAAGTGTTCAACTCAGTGTTTTCTTTTGCTTCACCCCCTTGGTGATTGGCTTTCCATTGTCATCCTTCACTGGCTTAATTTGTGTTCAACTTTTCCCGGATAGGAACCCAGTTGTTTGGTAGAGTGTTTAGAGGTCTCCTTTGCCTTCTGCTTGTTCTACTTCACTTGCCATCGTAATATTGTATTTAGTCTCTCTTGGCACTTTTCTTTACTCTTTTGTTCAATATATTGTTGCTTGTATTCAACTCTTGTTTTTGATACTCGTCGATGCACTAGATAATCTTTTGTTTCACAATCCTTCTTTCTTCTATTAGTCTCCAAGTGTCTATAGTGAGCCACTATTTTTCCTATCTCTTCTTTCTGCGTAAAACTTCCATTCAGATTTGACTCCACACTACTTTCAAGTTGTTCCAGTGTTGATTTGTGCCTCTATCTTTTTCCTTGTGATTGCAGTGAAGACATCCTTTGTAGCCTGATCCTTCAGTTCTTGAGTATTGAACTTGGCTTGTGGTCTATCTGCAGCTCCTGTTTCCTTGAAAGCTTTTTAATTTGATTTGGAGTGTTCCTTGTACGAGATAGTGGTCTGAGCTGACGTCTGCTCCTCTTCTTACTTTTGTATCCAGTAAGCTGCGTCTCCACTTCCTTGAGCAGCATTGAGATGAAGTCAATTTGGTTTTTGGTTAGCCCGTCTGGTGACACCCATGTAGCCTTGTGGATATCCTTGTGCTTGTATATGCTGCCACCAATCACTAGTTCATTGAAGGCACAGAAGTCAGCGAAGAGTCTTCCGTTTTAAATCACCTCTCCAAGTGCTTCTCTACCCACGATGAGTTATCTTTCTGTGTTTTCTGGTCCCAGTTTGGCGTTCATGTCTCTCATTAGGGATTTAATGTCACCGACTGGAGGATTGTCCATTGTTGCCTGTAGTTGCCTGCAGAACTATTCTTGCTTTTCGAGGTCTGCATTGTTTGTGGGCACATAGCATTGTATAATTGTCACTTTCCCACCTTTTGAGTTTAATCTGGCGGTCATTAACCTGGGCACTATCGCCTCCTGTTGTATGAGGACCTCCACTGCTGTTGGTAACATCATGATAGCCACAGCCTCGGTGTTCTCATGGTTATCTTCTGAGTGACCTGAGTAGAACACTGACTCTTCCGTTGAAAATTTGGTCAGTCCACTCCCATTCCATCTACTTTCACATACTCCCATTACTTGAATACAATATCTCTTCATCTCATTTGCAATCCGGGCAGCTTTGCCAGTCTCGTAAATAGAGTGGACGCTCCATGTCCCCAAACAGACTTTTCTTTCGTCTCAAGGAGACTCATCGTACTGAAGTTTCTGTAGTGTGGTGAGAGCTGTCTACTAGCCAATTGGTTGGCAGTCATTGAGGTCAAGGTCAAGATGGCCAGGCGGATACAGTTAACATATAGATGAACTGACACAGCCACAAGAGATGCAAGGTTAACTTTGTGTGAGAAACAACCAATCAACAGACTGTATTTTCTACTAACATTAACCTACACTAATGTACAATAATGTACATCAAAATCTATGAATACGTGTTGATTTTCCGTAATAAACGTTCTGTTGCCTGGCCCTTGTCTTCTGTTGTTACAGTAGCAGTGTTCTTTACAGGGTGGAGTTGCTAGCCCCATGCCAGAGAAGGGAGTTGTTACATATATGTGTAAGTTACAGAGGAGCGACTTTTTGGGTTGCTCCCTTTAGAATCAGGAAAATAAGAAATAAAGCAATCAGAACAACAACAAAAAAGCACAACAGGGAAGGCAGCGACAACAACACCAAAAACCACAGCAAAAATATCACTGTTAAATACAATTACCAAAAATAACACGTAAACCATAGAATCACTGACTTGGGTCAACTTGGGCATGTAAATCCAATAATACATACAGTTATAGATATTAGTTAGTGTTACACAATCACAAAATGCCAAACAATTAGTTATAGGCAATAATAGCCAACAAGACTATATCCACAGATTCAGTTTTTGAAGGTAAACGAATTACAATAGATCCTACGACTTCCTGGCCAGAAACACCAGAGAAATGATAGTTTTATGTAACTACGAAAATGTAACAAACAAATCGAAAAGCGCGTCCCATAAACACAAAAGCGACCATAATATTATGTTTCAATCCATTTACAAGTAAACACTTAAATGACAACGTTGACTAATAAAGATAAATTATGGAAAATTGATGATCTCACGTTTGCTGGGTCTTTCAAGCTTAAAGATAGGTAATATGATTTACTAGTGTTAAGCGTTAGATAATCTTTTGACAAAATATTGTCATTTAGTTATGAAAAGTATATGGCCTATCATGAGTAGTCTTATTTTAGCAGTATATAAGACAGACTAAATAATATCTCAACAGATTCTAATTTGTTGATTAGGTTTGTGGAGATTTTATTAGTTTCGTTAACTGCTAGTGTCGACTGAAACATCCACTGAAAAGACATCAGAAGTGGATCGATCTGTTGTCTAAGTTTAGATTCTTCAACAATCAACACATAACTGTTCGACAGATTGATCACCTAGACTATGGGGATAACGTGTCACCAGTAGTTGAGAATCTGACTGCCAATCATTCCCGACTTCAACCCTTTGTTAAAATAACTCATCTATCATACAATATCCCCCATCAGTAACCGTTTTCACATTCGACTCAGAGGAACTCACTATGACTTATTATGACTCCCGGAAACCTATCTCAAAGTGAGTGACTAGTCAGAAATGAACTGAGGGTGATTTGTAAGCAGTAAAGATGAGAATCTACCTGTTACAATGACTGATAGCTTCTCTATATTGAAGTTTAGAAGAAGCTAAATATTCAAAGCCATTTAATGGTATTGAGTTTACCTGGAAATATGTTGTGTCTATCCGCTATCCTCTGACGGGTGTTCAATTAATGATGCTACAGTGCACCAAACTGTGAAGAAATAGTTTTCCATTGGCTTTTGGTTTTCAAAGCTTTTCCCGTCTGAGTCAGTTTGTGACACAACAAACCACTAGACCTCACTCAATATTTAAAACTAAACTCAAGAGAACGACACCAGATATGTCACGACAAACTCATAAGGATACTTTTCTAAATATACATTAATTCACTTAAATCATAAATGTCTTATGCGTATTAGGACCGAAAAGTATGAAAATGAAAGTTTAAGATAAGTATTACGGTTCAGAAAATAGATCATTTCTAAGGATTTTAAATTTCCGCAACTTACATTCTTAAACCGTGTTATAGTCCTGCTTAATCATAACTCAATTCTTTCATGATATCATATGCTGTAGAAATTGAAGAACAGGTGCAATAACCTGTGGACTCCGTTCTTAAATAACCAGGCTTTTGTCATCATGTCACACTATTTATTTCTGAAGATGAATTTCTTTGTTTCATTGTTGTTTTATTCATGTCACATTTACATTTATTCTTATTTTTATTCAGTGCAGGTGCTCATCAGATTTCGGGTGGTTTCATTGTGTTTAAGTCGCGAATTGGCTTATTTTACAAAGCTCCTCCACAGTGAGTTGTTGAACTCTGTTTTTCTGGAAAAAGAACATTAAAAATTTAATCATTCAACTTACATCGTTCACACTTTGACACAAACTGGACAACAAGTAGTTTCAGTCTAGTTCTGACATCTTTTCTTAAATATGCCTGCTGTACGGATAAAATCTCCAAAACAGAATACAGTGAAATTATTATGTTGCTATTCCCTGTGGGACAAAGAGCTTCAGCAGCATATCGCAGTTTCATACTGTCCTCCGTAGTCCATTTAAGCTGGCTGCACGATCACCCGCAAGCTTTCATCTCGCGTGTATCACCCAAAGACACCTAACTCGTCGTTTCCCATTTGTGTTTCACTCTACAAAATGGAGTGTAATGTTACTCAGGGGTTTATTCAGCGTATGTCTTATCGATCTGTATTTCTTTCATCACATTTGTCAGGTCAGGCATATGCTTTTGGGTGGTTTGAATACATTAAAATATTATTATTTTTACTCTCTTGGGTTCCAGGTGTGCATCAGTGGTTCAGTGGTAAAACACTGGCCAAACATGAAGGTGCTCTAAGGCTCGATCCACTGCCGGCCCACTCCTTTGCCTCCCCTATCCGGTAGTGAGCCATTCAAAGAGGGAAGGTTGGGATTAGGCTAGCAACCCTACCGAGTAAAATACCACTGCTACAGAAACTTCATAAGCTCTGGCTTGAAGCCCTGGGAACAGTAAAGAACAAAATTTAAAAAATAAATATGAGTTCTGAGTGGAACATAGGGCCACCCTCTTGTTCTGTCCTCTATAGTGCTTTTCAGTCGACTGCTCGATTTCCCATAGGTCCCCATTTCCTCCTCCCACTGCCTCCTTCATATCACTATCGGACCAACTGACCGATTTTTGTTTCGCATTCGGGTTCCATTTGA